AAAACAAAACAAAACAAAACAAGCAAAAAAACACAAAACAAAACCCATAGCTAACATCATCCTTAAATGGAAGAAAACTGAGATTTTTCCCCTGAGATCAGGAACAATGAAAAAATGTCAATCTCACCACTTTTATGTTGAAGTCTTAGGTTTACTTTACTGGAAGTCTTAGTTATAGCGATTGGACAACAAAAGGAAATGAAAAGCATCCAAATTGATAAAGAGGTAGTAAAACTTCCACTATTTGCAGATGACATGATAGTTTCTGTAGAAAATCTGAAAGACTCCTCCAAAAACCTACTAGATCTGATACATGAATTCAATAAATTTGCAAGACACAAAAATCTGTTGCACATCTACACACCAATAAAGAAAGAGCAGAAAGAGAAATCTTTTTTAAAAATCACATTTACAATGGTATCAAAATAATAAGGTACCTAGGATAAACGTAACCAAAGAGGTAAAAGATTTCTACCCTGAAAACTATAAAATGCTGATGCAAGAAATTGAAGATGACACAAAGAAATGGGAAAAAGTTCATTCTCATGGATTGGAAGAATAAATATTGTTAAAATATCTATACTACTCAGAGCAATTCACATATTTAGTGCAATCCCTATGAAGATACCACCAGCATTATTAACAGAGGTTGAACAAACAATCCTAAAATTTTCTTTCTTTTTTTTTAATAAATTAATTTTATTGGTGTTCAGTTTACCAACATACAGAATAACACCCAGTGCTCATCCCGTCAAGGGCCCCCCTCAGTGCCCGTCACCCATTCACCCCCACCCCCCGTCCACCTCCCCCTCCACCACCCCTAGTTCATTTCCCACAGTTAGGAGTCTTTATGTTCTGTGTCCCTTTCTGATATTTCCCACACATTTCTTCTCCCTTCCCTTATATTCCCTTTCACTATTATTCATCTTCCCCAAATGAATGAGAACATATAATGTTTGTCCTTCTCCGATTGACTTACTTCACTCAGCATAATCCCCTCCAGTTCCATCCACGTTGAAGCAAATGGTGGGTATTTGTCTTTTCTAATGGCTGAGGAATATTCCATTGGATACATAAACCACATCTTCTTTATCCATTTATCTTTCGATGGGCACCGAGGCTCCTTCCACAGTTTGGCTATTGTGGACATTGCTGCTAGAAACATCGGGGTGCAGGTGTCCTGGCATTTCATTGCATCTGAATCTTTGGGGTAAATCCCCAGCAGTGCAATTGCTGGGTCGTAGGGCAGGTCTATTTTTAACTCTTGAGGAACCTCCACCCAGTTTTCCAGAGTGGCTGCACCAGTTCACATTCCCACCAACAGTGCAGGAGGGTTCCCTTTTCTCCGCATCCTCTCCAACATTTGTTGTTTCCTGCCTTGTTAATTTTCCCCATTCTCACTGGTGTGAGGTGGGATCTCATTGTGGTTTTGATTTGTATTTCCCTGATGGCAAGTGATGCGGAGCATTTTCTCATGTGCGTGTTGGCCATGTCTATGTCTTCCTCTGTGAGATTTCTCTTCATGTCTTTTGCCCATTTCATGATTGGATTGTTTGTTTCTTTGCTGTTGAGTTTATTAAGTTCTTTATAGATCTTGGAAACTAGCCCTTTATCTGATATGTTATTTGCAAATATCTTCTCCCATTCTGTAGGTTGTCTTTGAGTTTTGCTGACTGTATCCTTTGCTGTGTAAAAGCTTCTTATCTTGATGAAGTCCCAATAGTTCATTTTTGCTTTTGTTTCTTTTGCCTTCGTGGATGTATCTTGCAAGAAGTTACTGTGGCCAAGTTCAAAAAGGGTGTTGCCTGTGTTCTCCTCTAGGATTTTGATGGAATCTTGTCTCACATTTAGATCTTTCATCCATTTTGAGTTTATCTTTGTGTATGGTGCAAGAGAGTGGTCTAGTTTCATTCTTCTGCATGTGGATGTACAATTTTCCCAGCACCATTTATTGAAGAGACTGTCTTTTTTCCAGTGGACAGTCTTTCCTCCTTTATCGAATATTAGTTGACCATAAAGTTGAGGGTCCACTTCTGGGTTCTCTATTCTGTTCCATTGATCTATGTGTCTGTTTTTGTGCCAGTACCACACTGTCTTGATGACCACAGCTTTGTAGTACAACCTGAAATCTGGCATTGTGATGCCCCCAGATATGGTTTTCTTTTTTAGAATTCCCCTGGCTATTCGGGGTCTTTTCTGATTCCACACAAATCTTAAAATAATTTGTTCTAAGTCTCTGAAGAAAGTCCATGGTATTTTGATAGGGATTGCATTAAACGTGTAAATTGCCCTGGGTAACATTGACATTTTCACAATATTCATTCTTCCAATCCATGAGCATGGAATATTTTTCCATCTCTTTGTGTCTTCCTCAATTTCTTTCAAAGTGTTCTATAGTTTTGAGGGTATAGATCCTTTACCTCTTTGGTTAGGTTTATTCCTAGGTATCTTATGCTTTTGGGTGCAATTGTAAATGGGATTGACTCCTTAATTTCTCTTTCTTCAGTCTCATTGTTAGTGTATAGAAATGCCATTGATTTCTGGGCATTGATTTTGTATCCTGCCATGCTACCAAATTGCTGTATGAGTTCTAGCAATCTTGGGGTGGAGGCTTTTGGGTTTTCTATGTAGAGTATCATGTCATCGGCGAAGAGGGAGAGTTTGACTTCTTCTTTGCCAATTTGAAAGCCTTTAATGTCTTCTTGTTGTCTGATTGCTGAGGCTAGGACTTCCAATACTATGTTGAATAGCAGTGGTGAGAGTGGACATCCCTGTCTTGTTCCTGATCTTAGGGGAAAGGCTCCCAGTGCTTCCCCATTGAGAATGATATTTGCTGTGGGCTTTTCGTAGATGGCTTTTAAGATGCCGAGGAAAGTTCCCTCTACCCCTACACTCTGAAGAGTTCTGATCAGGAATGGATGCTGTATTTTGTCAAATGCTTTCTCTGCATCTAATGAGCGGATCATATGGTTCTTGGTTTTTCTCTTGCTGATATGATGGATCACATTGATGGTTTTACGAGTGTTGAACCAGCCAGGTGTTAGCACTCGGGGAGCTGCTCTCTCCCTGCCTGCTGCAGGGCTCAAAGGGGGTTGTTTACCCCGTGGGGCCCCAGGAGGAACAGCCGCAGTTGCTATGGCAACTCTGGAAGCCTGGAGTCAGCCTCCGCAGGAACTATGGGGCTCTCCGTCTGCAGGGCCTGGAGGCTCCGGGGCGGGGCCGCTGATCTGCTCAGCTCGGGCAGGAGCGTCCTCGCTGTCCTGGGCCCTCCCGGCCTCTGCCTGTCCCGGGGGAGGCCGGATCCTGGGCTGTGTCCTGGCGCCCTGTGCTCCGGGGCCTGCGCTGTGGGATTCGCGCTCCCGCCCCGCAGCCCCCTCCGCGGAGCCGCCGCCCGAGCCCCTCCGAGCTGCTCCGGTCCCGCCGTGCGTGCTGCAGCCCTTAGGGAGCTCGGCGCACTCTCCCGGGGCGCAGGTGCCTGTTAGTGTCCCCGGGAGCCCGAGGGCATCCCCGCCCTCCTGGGTCCTGCTCTAACTCCCTGCGAACCCCTTTCCGCCCGCCCGGGAAGGTTGGTGCAGCTCCTGCTCCTCCGGGACGGGGCTCTCCTGTCCTGGGGACACTCGCCCCGGCCTCAGCCCGGCTCCTCGCGGGGCCCCTCCCCCTCGGAGGCCTTTTGTGTCTTTATTTCTTTTTCCCCGTCTTCCTACCTTGATAGAAGCGCGAACTCTTCTCACTGTAGCGTTCCAGCTGGTCTCTCTTAACATCTCAGGCCGAATTCGTAGATTTTCAGGCTGATTTGAAGGTTATCTAGGTAATTTGGTGGGGACAGGTGATTTGGGGACCCTACTCTTCCACCGTCTTGCCCCTCCTTCTAAAATTTTCGTGGAACCATAGAAGACCCTGCATAATCAAAGCAATCTTTTTTTTTCTTTTTTTAGTGTGTAAGCAATTTTTATAGGAAATAGTTTACAGGTGGGGAAACTAAGGCACAGAAAACTTAACCAAGCTCATTTTCAAGGTTGAGTCTAATAGCAAAGGTAGAAATAGAATCTACGACTTTGATTCTCAAGATTAGAGGGTGATGGGTAGTATCTTCCTAAAGGGGAAAAATTATTTTCTTTATTCTTTTTGGAAAGTAATACTAATAAATCATTAAAAAATATATAATACAAATTCCACTGAAAATCTTTGGCAATTGTGTGTCTTTGGAGGCTGGGGGTCTTAGGTATTTTCCCTGCCAAAACAAAAAGGCAAGGGAGCCAGTTTTTAATTGAAACAAGAAAAATTAATCTTAATTTTAAAATGACCTGAGTTGCATTTTGCATTGTAATATAAATCGGCTGGATAACTAGGAGTCCTGTGAAATTTAATAACAGCAACTACACCTTACAGATTACAAACGTGCATTCTGCAGTGAGATTTATATGACTAGCACTTTCTCTACACTTTGGTAAAATACAAAATAAGATATCTTAATTTTTCATAAGCCCAACTATTCAAAGATATCAAACTTATAGTGGGATGATTAATCAATATATGGTACTGAGTTGGCTCCAAATTCAAGTATTTGTTAATATTCACCCCAGGTTTTTGTAAGGGCTGAGATGTGAGCTGGGAAACCCATACCATTCAGATCAGCATTTTCCTGTGTGTGTCTGTTTTTGATCACAAAACTTCCACTCTCTTAAAATGTGCAGTTGTTAAGAGCTCAGGTTTATGTAGTCCTAATGCAGCACAGAACGTACCATGCAAAAGTAAAAGAAAATTAGCTTCAAGTTTCTTTGTTTTTAAAGTGCTCTCTGTGCAGTATGAAGTCAACTTTCAGATGACAGAAATCCACTATGATGACTAGTAACAGTTTTACAACAGATCAAGTTCAACAAGAATAATTTGTCCAAATGTGAATACACAGATTAAAAGATGCAAAAACTCTAGGCACATTGAAATCGAAATGATACCAAAAAAATCCATCTGAATACATAAGATGACAGGTATAACTAATTCTGATGGCTGGGAATAAAGGACGTGGACGTGCAGCTTATACCTTTAATATTGAGGCAGTTGGATTTGGCAGAGGTGAAAAGTTACCTGATGTAGTATTGAAACCACCCCCGCTATTTCCCGATACAGATTATAAACCAGTGCCACTGAAAGCAGGAGAGGGTGAAGATTACATGCTGGCCTTGAAACAGGAGTTGAGAGAAACTATGAAAAGAATGCCTTATTATATAGAAACACCCGAAGAAAAACAAGATATTGAAAGATATAGTAAAATATATATGAAGGTGTACAAAGAGGAGTGGATACCAGATTGGAGAAGACTCCCAAGAGGAATGATGCCAAGGAAGAAGTGCAAAAAAGGCCCCAAATCTGAAAAGGCGAAAGATACAGGGAAAGGCGCTTCGCTCACTAATACTGCAGATGTGTTGAAAAAAATTGAGGAATTGGAAAAGAGAGGTGATGGTGAAAAATCAGATGAGGAAAATGAAGAGAAAGAAGGAAGCAAAGAGAAAAGTAAAGAAGGTGATGATGAGGAGGACGATGATGCTGCAGAACAAGAGGAATATGATGAAGAAGAGCAAGAAGAGGAAAATGACTACATTAATTCATACTTTGAAGATGGAGATGATTTTGGTGCAGACAGTGACGACAACATGGATGAAGCAACCTATTAAGCTATGAAACTTCTCCAAATATATCTTTCTGCTGATACCACTTCTGAACATTTGGACAGCCTTGTTTTCTATTTCTGATATTTTTGTTCTTGTTTTGTTGGACAAATATTTGCTGTCAAAATACTCAGAACCACTTAGAGTTTACATACTGGTTATCTTACCCATTAGTCTCTGATACAGTCCCATTTCTTTTCAACACCTCTGTCATCTTATGTAATCAAAGCAATCTTGAAGAAGAAAAGCAAAGCTGGAGGCATCACAGTTCTGGACTTCAAGATGTATTACAAGGCTCTCACAATCAACACAGTGTGGTATTTGCACAAGAATATAGATCCATATAGATCTCTAGATCCTTGGAACAGTAGAAAACCCATAGACAAACCCACAACTATTTGATCAATTATTTTTGGAAAAGCAGGGAAGAATATCCAATGGGAAAAAGACAGTCTCTTCAACAAGTGGTGTTGGGAAAACCAGACAGCAACATGGAAAAGAATGAAAATGGACCATTTTCTTACACCAGACACAAAAAGAGGTACAAAATGAATTAGAAACCTAACTGTGATACCTGAAACCATCAAAATCCTAGAGAACAGAGGCAGTAACCTCTTTGAGATTGGCTGTAGTGTTTTCTTTCAAGATATGTCTTCTTAGGCAAGGAAAACAAAAGCAAAATAAGCTATAGGGACTTCATCAGTATAAAACTTCTGCACAGTGAAGAAAGCAATCAACAAAACTAAAAGACAACCTCCGAATGGGAGAAGATATTTGTAAATGACATTTTTAATAAAGGGCTAATATCTGGGCAGCCCAGGTGGCTCAGCGGTTTAGCGCAGCCTTCAGCCCAGGGTGTGATCCTGGAGCCCCAGGATCGAGTCCCAAGTCAAGCTCCCTGCATGGAGCCTGCTTCTCCTTCTGCCTATGTGTCTGCCTCTCTCTCTCTCTCTCTCATGAATAAATAAATAAAATCTTTAAAAAAGGGGGGGCTAATATCCAAAATACATAAAGAACTTCTAAAACTCAAGACCCCCCAAAGTGAATAATTCTATTTTAAAATGGATAGAAAATATGAATAGACATTTTTCCAAAGAAGACATCCATATGGCCAACATATATATGAAAAAATGCTCAACTTAATTGATCATCAAGGAAATATAAACAAAAATACAATGAGATATCACCTTATACCTGTCAGAATGGCTAAAATCAACAACACAATAGATAACAGGGGCTGGTGAGCATATGGAGAAAAGGGAATCTTCTTACACTTTGGTAGGAATGAAAACTATTGCAACCACTCTGGAAAACAGTATGGAGGTTCCTCAAAACGTTAAGAAAAAAAATCCCCTACAATCCACCAATTGTACTACTAGTTATTTACCCCCCAAAGCACAAAAATATTAATTTGAAGGGTACATGCACCTCAATGTTTACAACATCACCATCTACAAAAACTAAATTATATAAACAGTTCAAGTATCCATCAATTGATGAATGAATAAAAGATATATATACACTAGAATATTAGTCATAAAAATGATGGAAATCTTGCCATTTGTAATGATAATGGATGGAGGCTAAGCAAAACTAGTCAGAGGAAGACAAATGCCATATGTGATTTCACTCATACATGGAATTTAAGAAACAAAACAAATGAAAAAAAGGGAAAATAAAGACAGAGGGAAGCAAACCAAGAAACAGACTCTTAACTGAGAACAAACTGATGGTCACCAGAGGGGAAGGGGGTGGAGCTATGGGTTAAGATATAGAGATTGAGGACTATACTGTGATGATCACTGGGTATTGTATAAAAGTGTATAAAATCCCTATATTGTACACCTGAAACTAATATTACACTGTCTGTTAACTAATTGGAATTTAAATACAAAATGTTAAAAAGTAAACTTTTATTCACTATTAAAAAATAAAATTGTTCAATATCTATGGTTTAAAAAAAGTAACTGCACCCTTGGATCAGAATTAACACTAATTTTCATAAAATAATGGATATTAATCAGAATTTATGGTATGCTACTTTGGCAAAAAGAATGACTTTCTAAATTAAATAAAAGCTCTATATTATTCTTCTGATAATCCAATTATTCAAGATAAGTCTCTTGGAATAGAATTCTTTATAAAAACTTCCTAATAAGTAAGCATCCAAAGTAGTTAATGAATAAACAATCTCTTTGCTCTTGGAATGAGCGTTTAAACTGTAATTACTAGCAAAGTAGGCATTGCTATTAGAGTGAAAATATTTTAGTTATGTGCATTTGAAAATGTGATGCCAGGGTTGGTTAGGAGATTTAGAAAGCGTGATATTTTGTTATTTTATAAATGTATGTGTTCCTTTTCCACTGCTCTTTCTCTTTCCTTTCTGTCTGTCATATCTCTAGAGATCCCAATTTCCAGCTGTTAATGGTCATATTGGGTTCACTGTCAGTATGTTACTAATGGGACTTTAATGCATTTATAGATTTTAGTGGCAGTCACTTCAGGCTATAGATTTGATGATATCCTCAATCTTTTAGTTGCTATTGAATGACAAATTTGCTAGGTACTACACTAGAGAAGTCTACATCCTCAGGTAACTATTTTCAAAGAAGAGTTCTTGGCTGGAGTATGTACTCTGACACAATACCTTGAGCACCTTTCATACACCCTTTGCCACATCTGTTCTACTGAGGTACTGCTACCATTTATCACTTTAGTCATGCTGCCATGAAAGCTGCTACTTTCTCTTGGTTATAACATTATTCTTGCATTCTCTTTCTTAATGAGATTCTATTAAAGAAAAAAGAAAAGGAGAGGAGAGTATTCGAGTACCAATAATTTATACATTAATTTTGTGATGTTGATGTTTTTAGTAACCACTATTTTGCAGGTGACAAAACTTGGATTTTAGAAAGGTTAAATTATTCACTAAAAGTGACAAATTTTGTATACTGTTCTCATATCTTGTTAAATATAGAATGATTTCATTACCTCTTTTTCTGCTTGACAGTGTCATAGACATTATAATCTGTATACTTTTTATTGGTAAACTTTTCAACAAATATTTTTAAGTAAATTTTCAACAATTTTTCTTTGTAATTATACCAGCTATTACTATAGGCACTATGCTTTGGGGGGGGGGAGAGAAAGAGAGAGAGAAACCCTGCCCTTCTCTACTTTACAGTCACTAATCCAAAAATCCAAATGAAGCAAAAGGAAGTACAAAAAAAGTACAACTTCTCTCTTATATTTATTATATTTAGAAAAATTCATGGTAAGGAAATGAGTCAAGGGTGACTCAGGTTTCTAGCTTTAATAGTTGGATAAATAATATCACATTCTAAAAAGAAGAAAGTAAAGGGCTCATTTTGTTTGGTTTGTTTGTTCACAATTTCTTTAGTTGAGTCTTTAACTCCTTAATTCAATATTAATATAATTGTGAGATTTGGTGAAATGCTTTTTTTTTTTTGGTATTTCAACAACTGAATCTTCATTGAGGTACGTCAAATTAATATATGATCTTGACTTTTCACATCCAGTTCATTTCTACAGATCTATGTTTGTTTCATTTAAACACTGACTTTTAAAAATGCTATTATTTCTTACGATGGTTCTGTTTATTTTGCAATTGAAAAAATGCACATAAAATAAGTTTATTTCCAACTCCCATCTTCTAAATATTTGATACAGTTTATTTCATTTTTAGCCTAAACTGATGTATGTAACTGCATCTCCACAAATATTTTAGTCTTCAAACCAAATATAACTTCTTAGAGTTATTGGTTGGATAACCTGCCAAGAAACAAAAGCAAAGAGAAGTTGCGGAGAGGAAACTTGTCTTATGAGATTAGTAATTCCAGATGTTCCAATTACTTCTTTTAGGAACTTTACTGACTTCAGCTATACAAATCCTCCTCTATAAATTCTTAGTCAGGTTGGCAGAAATTGTATTCTGTTTCTTCCTAAACACCTTAATAAACTTTTAGTAGAGTTTATACCTAACAGAGGAGGAAGAGAAAATGTCATGGTCACATCAAAAGTTATGAAGTTTTAAAAGGACAAAAAAAATAACAGTTGACTGAATCTTTATCTACTGAGAGTTAAGATATGTCAGTATAGCACAGCATTTTAAAGCATTTCATGTTTTTTCCTTTTTTTTCATAGAGCAGTAAACCACTCTACAAATTAATTTAATTGAAATGACTCTTAATTACAACTCCTATCTTAAAATTATTAGCTTTATCTCAAAATTAGCCTTTCAATCTTCTTTCTCACCGCATTTTATTAGGAACTTTAAGAAAAGTGGAAAACACATTTTAATCCTCAGCACATTTATTTTAAATAAAATGGGTCTGCTGCATCAATTCTACATAACTCTCATATGTAATTAAATCTAGGACAATAAAGTCTTATTTCTATTTTTTTATGTTTCTGAAGAAAAATCTTGATGAAATGGAATACATTTTTAAGTATTTTCATAATGTAATGTCAGTACTATAAATTTCTGAAATAAGTTTTTTGTTGTTATTTCTTAACATAACACAGAAATGTAACATTATTATCTAATGTATCATCAGCCTCTCAGGAGTATATTTATTATCTGATGGAGCTTATAATAAATACTTAGCTCAAGAGGAATGAGAGATCTAATATGTAGGTTCACAATGATCTATAGAAGTGACCCAAGAAACCCAAAACTAGTTTTGATAAATGTGAGGTTCTTACCTCAGGGAAAACATTTTCTAGCCTATTACTCTAAGGTCAAAAGAGGACAGGATGGGTGTTTGGCTGTTTGCCTCGTTGGAGATAATGTGCAAATACAAAAAGATATACTCTCCCTCCCTGTAGAGTAACATCAGCCCTGTGAAGTCTGGGAGTCTCCATGAAGATAGACAGTCCTGCAACTCTGGACAGCCAGTGGGAACTCAGAGAGCTACAATATTTTGGAACACATCTATTCCAGATGGAAATACTAAGTTATTTTTTTAAAGATTTTATTTATTTATTCATGAGAGACAGAGAGAAAGAGAGAGGCAGAGACATAGGCAGAGGGAGAAGCAGGCTCCATGTAGGGAGCTTGATGCGGGACTCGATCCCAGGTCTCCAGGATCAGGCCCTGGGCGGAAGGCGGCGCTAAACCACTGAGCCACCCAGGCGTCCCCCAGGTTATTTTATT